CAAGTGTTGAATATATTTTTTATAATAGAAATTTTCTTTTATAAAATAACAGTTTTTATATTGACTACATACTTTTATAGTATTGGAATTTATCATCCCCGTATTTAAATATCTACTATTTAAAACATTTAAAATAATTACAGTATGTTTTCTTAGTTGTTTTAATGTTATGTATAATTCTGATGAAACAGCTAGAGGATTTTTATCGTTTTCACCAACACAAATAATAATTTTTTCTGACAAACCATAGTCTTGATTGAGAACACAACTTTTCAATACATTTTCAGTTAAGGCATCAGTATTTGTATAACCGATTATATCATATTCTTTATATTTACTATGTTCTCTCGAACGAAGCAACGCTGAGGCTAAACCGACACATTGTTGCGTTCCAAATATAAATATTTTTCTTTTTTTTAATATTGCAGTTTGTTTCACGCAGATGCTGAATATCTTCCTCCAACTTGTTTTCTAGTTCTATGTTTTTGTTTTTAGTCAATAAAAGGTTATTTTTGTCATCTATCCTGGCGTCTTTTTTTGCCGCCATTGGCGTTTCTAAATCCAATTTATTAGATGTTTGCGTTTCTGAATCTAATTTATTAGATGTTTGTGTTACTAAATCTAAATTATTAGGTGTTTGGAGCAATGCGTCGTTTATCTGAAGTTTTATTTTTTAGAACTGTTTGATGAACATATAATAAGTAATCTTTTTTGTTTTTGCTGCTAATTTGTCAACCTCTTTTTGTAGTTCCTGTTTCTCAAGAATAAGCTTTTCTATTTCCATATGCGCACTGTCTTGTTCTAGCTGTAGTTCGGGGTTTCTTTGTTTTAACTCAATGGATTCATCATTTACTAATGTCGATAGATCGGGTAAGCTTTTTATTATGTTTGAATCTTGGGATGATAAGGAAGTTTCAGGGTCCGAGTACGTTTCTATATGTGTGCGATTTTTCACTCTGTTTTGGAATTTATTGGTGGTTAATAGTTGATTACATAAGCTTTCAGTTTCGTTTTTACTTTTGTGCAGCATTTTACGTTGTGAAACGTCATTTTTTGAGGTATTGACTTGTTTTTTCACGCTATGAGAAATATCAGCATTGGGTGAACATATTTTTTTAGTATTTGTCTTATGTATGCATTGATCACATTTTCATTTGGATTTTTTCAATATTCATAGCATTAAATCTTCTAATTGACGTGTTTATGCAATTTAAGTCATATTTTTCATTACAAATAAATCATTTTAGGATCTCTTTAGAAGTGATCACTTTCTTACAATGGGTGCAGATATTCATAATTGTCTTTGTGGAAATCGTTGACAAATTTTTGTTTTTCTGTGATGACATTTTAACGAAAGGTCAATATAATATATATTATCTAATTTCTATTTGGTCTCTTACTTTTTAAATAAAAAGTTTAAAAATTGCCTTAATATTTTATAAAATAAAAGTATAAATTTTATAAATTAAAAGTTACAAAAGAAAAGGAAATAAAGTATTTAATCTTTGAATATATTGAACGAGTGTTGTACCGCTGAACGCTATGCAACCGATGTAATTTCAAGCGAAAAAAGATGTATAGTACTTATCTGCAATATATATTATATATGGCGACAATACTTGTTTACATCACGGTCCAAAGTTCGTTTTGTTAAGTAAACAACGGAGTTTTAGACTAACGAACTTTGTACGAACAAAATTTGGAAATCACCCACTTATTTTAATATAATTTGAATATGTTCACAATTTATTTTGATTATCTTGTAATTCCAAATTTATGTTGTAACACAAACTGTATAACCACACTTTTTTTTAAATTAAAGACGTTTTAAGATTTTTCTCTGACAAACCTTTCTAATTAAAGTACATTTATTATAACTCACTATTTCACATAACAATCACTTATTTCTTATTACAACTGTTCGAGTTATTTGTATATTTACTAACGTTTGCAATTTTTTAATTTTTGTACTAAGTTCAAGTGCAACAGTCACGTCGTATGCGCTCCGCGATCGTAACTGATGATGATGATGATGATGATGACAAAACAAAGGCAACATAGATTGCCTCATGGAGTTAATTAGGAATAAGTATAGATTATATTAATATTTTAAAGCTAGAATTGTTTTATTTCATTGAATTATTATGTTAACATTTTGACAATGACTGAATCAGACAATTTGTTCATTATAACAGGTACTAGTAACTAGTGACTTGCCCGGTCTTTGCTTATTGATTGCTCGTTTAAAAGTCTCAAAGTAGTTTTGGATAAAATATAGCCTTGATCACTCCTTATCCCTTGGTCTCATTGAATGGATAAAGTACTTTCTGAATGAACGGACGCTCCAGGTCGTCGTCGATGGCTGCTCATCTGATCCTATGGTGACTGATGCCGGTGTTCTTCGGGAGTCCGTTCTCTCCGCAACTCTCTTCTTGCGGCATGTAGAGAATCTGCTTATGGTCGGTATCTGTGGGTATGCAGCCAAAAACAAAGTTGTGAAGAGATACCAAACAAGTGCCTGGGCCAGTCGGGATCGAATCCAGTCCGAAATAAAGGCTATGGTTTAGCATGTGAATCTCACACTATAGAGAGTCTCCGAATGGAGTGATGCTATTCTCGCGAGATTCATCGCCTCCGAAACACAAACGTGTCTTTTCAGAGCTAAAAGGAGGCCCTCATCCTGGCTCCTACTTTCCGGAATGGATCCTTCGAGTCCTTGAAAGTTAGTGTGACCGCCTTCAGTTGTTAGGGGTTGAATTTTCTCCGAAACTCAACTATGAGCGGTTCATTGAGTCTAGAGCTAAAGCAGCCGCAAGAAAACTTGGTGTGCTTGCAAGAGTGCAGCGATACTTCATGCCGATGCTGCTAATTACCTTATATAAATTGCAAGTCCGGTCGTGCATGGAGTATTGCTGTCACATATGAGCTGTTGCTGCAGAATGCTACCTAGCAGCGTTGGGCTCACTGCAGAAACGTGCTAAGAGGCTCATTGGTGATCTTGATTTGGTTGAAACCAACGCCAAACGGTTTTCTTTGACTTTTTAATGCATACAGCAAAGGAGTGGAATAATTTTCCGGTTTCTATCTTTCCATCCGAATCATCGGCTTTTGTTTCGCTAACACAATGCGATTTACCATCTAAGGCTGCATCACCACTTACCACCAGGCGAGGTTGTGGTCAAACACTGGCATATAAAAAGTAAAAAAAATTAAGCAAGCGGGTTGAAAATCGCTGTTTTTTATTTTAATGATACTGCAGCGTTGCAAGACGTCACCTCTAAAGACACCCACAGTATGGGGCGATATTGGGTATTAGATATTCCTGCAACTAATTCTACCACTACACGGTCGGTAGTTCCTTAAACACCTGTAAATGGTTGCAAATTATAAGTTATTCAGAAATATTCCTCCACATTCATTCATGTAACCTGAATATTAATTTAGTTACTTTACGTGTATCTAATGTCATCCCGCGTCGCTAATTTGACGAAGGAAGCATGTCATAAACAAGATTACGTTAATTAGAACTTTAATATTGCATAAAATTTAACATTGTGACGTGACTATCACTTAATAAAAGTTTTATTTTTAGCAGCGCAACTTTCACGCCGGTACGCCGTGCATGCGCATTCTTTTGCTAGTGGCTCTAGTATGTATACATTCTTAAATGCAGATGTATACATACATATAAATACATCTAGCACTGGAAACCAATATGATATATTGACTACTGTAGATTATAGAATTAAACCGCAATTTCACGAGTAAATTGAAGGCGTTCGAAGAACCATACCGCTTGCTACGAGTGTATGTGCAGAACTGCTCGAGGAAACAATAAACCCCGATAGTGAAATGTAGGTGCAGCGGTTGATCGATTGTTCGGAAGCGCTTCTTACTTAATTTATTTGTAATATGACGGTTTACAAGAATAATACAATAAACATAATAGATATAGTATCAGATCACACATTTACCATAAGAGAACATATAATCACATAATTAATTATAAATAAATATTTTGTTGTACGTCGCTTACAACTATAAAAAGGAAGTTAAATAAATAAAAGAGTTAATGAGCTAAGATCCGTGTTAAAAATGGTGTGGCATGCCGTTAAATCTCGTCGGCCGTAATATGTAACCTGTTCCGGTATCCGTCTGGAAATTTTAGTTTTGAAAGGTTTTTAAAACAATTCCTTCGTAATATGTCAATATTTTCAAGATTTCTAGCCTTTTCCTTCTGGCATATTTATTTTTAGCTGCCTACTCCTAGAGTACAACAGAATAGTATAATTCTTATTTAATAAATACTGTAAGTAACTTTTATTAAATGTCACCACCACTGGTTTGGAAAAAAGATTGTCCTAAGATAAGAAGAACCAGCAAGAAACCAAGTAGAACTTTTTTTCAAAATAAAATTAAACAATTAAACACAGCTTGTACAAACTACTTACAAAACTTATGTAAGAAATAGCTTAGAAGCGAGAACGAGAACGATTTATAATTAACTTGGTAACAGAAATACCTTGTATATTTTTCCTATCTTTGCTAAAACATCGTATACGTTACCCCAAGATTGAATTACTGACTCTGTATAGTCGAGAAACTGGTATCACTAGTTATGTTTGTTCCTGGTGTCTACAGTATAGTGTGGAAATAACGGAAACAAAATAATCAAGCTGTCTTGACATAAGTGAAACTTCTTATCATTTTTACTGCATAAGAGCTTAGTCGGTTTGTTAGTTTTGATATATGGGTGTCCCACTGAAGATATGCGTTGAGAGTAATGCCAAGAAAAATGGTGGAATCGATAGTTCTCAGTTCTTTTTCACTTAAACACACGTGGTAATTAAATTTTTAACATTTTAAGTTGTAATATACAAAGTTTTATTGCCGTTTATGTGTAGATTATTAACGATACACAAAAACACTAATACCGTTAAAGCATTATTCACTTTTTCACACAACTTTTTAAATAATTGCCGTTTAAGTTTAAAAATCAATGAATAATAAAATATGATGATAATTTCTAACAAGAGAAGATAAGTCATTAATATAGCTTAGAAATAGAAATGGGCTCATCCTTACCATTTTGTAGAGAGAACAACTTTAAGCATTCACGAGTGACACGTTATATAACAATTTATATAAAGAACCGGAGACGGAGACCCCTTTTACTGCAAATGACGGGTGACAATGAATCTGCGTTTTGATTCGGTCGTCACCCTATCCTATAAAATAAAAAAATAAAACAGAGTTAGCAAGGGTCGCCCTACACGGAAGTTTATGGACCAAATTGGCAATATATTGACGATGGGTCAAATAAAGAGTACCGTAGGCGACGGACAAGTATGCGTTGAAATATGATATGAAAGTAGAAGAAGGTGTAAAAGTTCACTGCAGGACATAGTCCTCCCCATAGACCGCCTTATAGAGGGGATTTTGCGTGCCGAACAGGCGGATTTGTAATCAAAGTTTTTATAATTTTAAGTTGCTATCAGGAAGATGCTGCAGCCCATTTCGAATTTTAATTTTCCTCTGATCTTTTACGACACGCATGTGACGAAGTGGGGTAGTGCCACCACACAGTAGATGTGTGTCTGGATCGTGTCAAATGAAAACCCGTAACCTCTGCCTAATGCTGTGGATGAGGACATGACCGATTGTGAACCGCTTACTAAAGAATAAATATTTTCTATTGTGCCGCGGTTTGTTCATTATTAAACAAATATTGCGCATTTTATGTATTTCGTGAATAAAATATTGCTTGTATGAATAATTTCATCGCTGCAGAGCGTGTATTTCTACAAATTTAAGCTCTTGTTTTTGCATTGTTCGAAATCCGATTAACGTTGAAATTGTCGGCGTTGTGAAATCGATTTTGTGTCAGTTATTTTCGGCTTTTGTATCAAACAATTAAAAATAGCTTTAACAGAATAATTGTTTAACTGGGTTTAAAGATTAAAAAAGTTATCCTTTGTACATAGTAAAGTTATGTTTATACAAGTTAGAGCCATGCTGCAACTATATTATTGTTGTAGCACAAATGGTTCGGCTTGACCAGTGTAGGACCACGCTCTCACTGAATATTAGCATAAAATAGCAGCTTAATGAGATTCAAATAATGAGTGTGGAAATGTGGAGACCCTTTTTTACTGGATGCAAGGAATTCTATCTTAGTACTCAGTGTTGACAACGTATCAGTATACTGATTCTTAATCGATGATAAATGTAGATGTTTATAGGCAACAATATTCCCTTACCGTCAGTTTAACTGTTTGCTCGTTTGTCACCCTTATTACATAAAAAGGGGAAATGAATCAGGAAATGAGCAGTAGCATCTTTCTAATAACTGTCGTACCTAAATGACAATTCTGGTTTCTCAAATAAAATGGAGGAATCGTCCTGAATGACGAACAATTTTCAACCATTTACTTGTCTATGATGAACGATTGACCGCGTCGTATAAGAATATCCACTACCCCATAACATCGCGCGGGTGTCTTAAGAGGTGACAAAAGCAAACACACAAGATGATGGGCTGTCAAGTTTTTTTTAATATCTAGAAGAGGGGGAAACGAGTATGCGGCTCACCTGATGATACTGTTCTACCGCTGTGACTACCGCTGCCCTTGAACAACCACAACAAGTGTGACAACTATAGAAAATATACCCTTATGGGACATTCCACAGAAGACGATTACGTTTAGGACTCTTGATAGGTTATAATAGTGTTATAAGAATAAGGAAGAAAAACGAGCTCACAGCTCACCTGAGAGTAAGTGGATACTGTGCTCCATAGACATCTTTTTCTTCCACCCCGAGGTCGGAAATAGAATGCCTCGCTTTCAGTAAAAATGGCAATAAGGGCCTCCAGTTCTCTACACTCACGATAGAAAACAAAGCAGAATTAGGTTGCCACTTTACGCTGGTAATTTGTAACAGCGTGGCCCTTCTTCGGTAAAGTTGGTTCTTGGTTGTATCACAAATGGGTCGGCCATTTGTGATAAAACCATAATATACGTAGTAGCAGCATTGCTCTACTACGTAAGAGAATGAACTAAAATCAATGAAATTCAGTGTCTTCGGCTGGAATCGAACTGATGGTACTGTTGAACTACGTAATTTATTATATTTTAACTTAGCTTCTGAGTTACAACATAGAATAAATAATAGTACTACGTACAGAGGTTGTTCT